AATTAAGGGATTTTCTTTTAACAAAAACTGCGTCAGAGATTTGTTTTGTAGTGAAGAAAATTATTAAGCTGCGTGCTGTTGCAAAAGTCACTAGTCATGAAAAGAAAACAACATGTCATATTTACAATGTAATTGCCACAATAAAATACATTGAAAACAGTGGTCATGTCAATTCCAATGTTATAATCTTTATTTGCATGATACTTAAAATCTTCAGATGTAAGTATCAGTCTGAAAGTACTTGGAAAAAAAGAAGAAAAAAAGTTGGAAGTTGTGATCTCCTTGTCTGGATGATCTCTTAATATGTTGTTATCTATATTCCCCCTTTTTTATAGCCAGTTTTCTGTGTTCAAGGCTGTCTTTATTGTCTGGTATTATCTATTTTACTTAGATAAATAAGCATTTATTATCTTGTGGTCACTGTTTGAAGATTGTTGAATGCTAGTATCATATTTTTCATAACTATAGAGGTAATCATTTTGCGCAAATATTGGATTTTTATGGCAATTTTTTGGTCTTCAGGATATTTGATGCTCAAAATTTGGTAATTCATTGTGTGAATGATGTGTCAAGAACTGATTTCATTGTAATGAAATAAAACTGAATGAACATAAGTAACTTATGTTACTTAAATGATAAGCGGCCATAAGTTATCATCATTTTGATAACTTAATAACTTTTGAAGTGAGATAAATTTAAAGAAAGGACTCTTGACCTATTTATACAGTTATTAGATCTGGACAAGCAGAACGTTATAGATATTTGAATGTTGACCTGACTCAGTTTTAGTTCATGTTCCCCTTATGCATGAGGAAATGTTTAGTGTATTTCAAAATTTTACCCTTATCAGCATTTTAAAATGTGAACTTAATACTCTTGTCAATATTATCATAACCTGACATTTTTAATTTATGAACAGTAACATTTGAGTAGTTTGCATGCAGGGGTATTTAGTGAGGGGGTATGCAATTCAAGGTGTTATGAGACAAATTTTAGTGCCTGTAATATGTTAATTTTTTTAGACAATTTTAAAGCATAACTAATAACTAATTTGTACCTTTTTAAGAATGTAGGCTATAACTAGGCAATTTACAGTCTGCAATTGTCTGACGTTTATTGATCTAGCAATGTTACCTTATGTAGTAACCTATATTATAAAAAAAATGAAATCTAGACTGCTCTTATATATCTTTATTTATCTGCTGTAACTTGATGTTTTGGTAAGGTGATATCATAGTGGGAATTCATGCTGGGAATTACTATTGAAGATCAGAATGTCACTATGAAAAATGTAGTATTACAAGATTTTCTCTGTCATGGTCAAGGTCATATTTTATTTAGAGGTCAGGTTTGCTATACAGAAGGATAAAGCATTAAATTAAACTGGAAACACTTGAAATAGTATTAGAAAATATTGAAATTTATGTCAGACTAATCTTTCAGAGGGTTAAACTTGAGTATTAACTATTGAATATCCTGTACTTTACATAATTGTTACAAACTTTAGTATTAACTTTTGAATATCCTTTAAAACAAGCACTGTACTTTACATAATTGTTATGACATTATGTCAGACTTAATGCAATTTATTCTCTACCTGAACCTGACTGCATTAAAGGGAGTCTAAGTCATAGATTATATTCCTCATATAAGATGTAATGGAGGTTCCATTGCAACAAAGCAGTAACTTGCTCATTATAGTCATTTAGATAGGATCATAAGAATGTGTTGTATAGAATCCCTCAATATTTGTAAATATTTTATGACGGTGTCAGACGCTCCTTGAAAAGTCTATTTTTGTACATATTGCCACTTACTATCTGAACCTTATGTTCGTATTTGGACAAAATGATCCGTATAAGGTAACTCGTAAAACTGTCTTACACATTGCACTGTAATGTTGGAAGTGTTTTATTTCTTCAGCGAAAATGTTCAAAAATCTCCTCCAGATCGAAAAAGCTGATGACTTGTTGAAAGCTGATGGGAAATCAGTGCACATTAAGTAAATTGGATATGAAGCTTTGACATTATTAAAACAACTTCAAGAAAATTACATTGCAAGTCTCTGACAGGTGGCAGCATAGCGTGGTGGCCATGTTGCACATATACTGCAGTAGAAGATGTAGAACTTTGACTACAGAATGAACAAATATGTTTCCATAGTTACTATCTGAGACTGTCAATGTTGGTAAATGATGTTTAAGTTTTTCATTATCACGTTTACCTTTAGGCTTAAACAAAACTCATGTCATTCTTGAAAAACATAATGTTAATGTTTATAATGCCCAATAGACAGAGAACCATGAACAGCTGAAATGTTCTAAAGATTGGTTAAGTGTCTGGCACTTTAGTCACTTAATGATTGTAGTTGCTATTTCATAATCATTTTCAGTATTTAAGTCCCAAAGTGTTGTTTAAGTCAAAAGGATATTCCCCATAATTATTATCAAAGCGAGGTGCTTAAATGAATTAGCTCAGGCTTCAAGTAAGCCTATTATAGTCATGGAAACGAAAGAGATTTCCGACTTCATGTGTTTGAATTCCAATCCCCCACTTGCATACAAAGTTGTTTACCTTTCCCCTGTTTTGACAATTCCATGTTGTTTCTCTGTGGTATTAATAGAAATAATGTTTGCTGTAAAAAAAAACCTCTAGGGAGAAGCAAAATCTGTGATCTTGGAAATCTTTAAGCTGTTTGTAATCCAGGTATAATTGTGTGATTTTTGGCAACCTGACCGTAAAGACTTTAGAATTCCAAGAACAGAAAAAAAGTCACAGTTTTTGCACAGCTCCGCAGCTTTTACACTGATCTATCAGTATGAGAAAGTCTTGGCTTTCAAAAACAATTACCAATGTTACCAGAAGGTTTCTTGGTTTTGCATTGTTGAATGTTTATTTATATATATATATTAAACTTTACCTCCCACACATCCCTTTCATTGTTTTTAGTATAGAACTATTAACGAACTATCATTGTATATATATATATTAAAGCCACAGGATTGTTAGTCCATTCACTAAAGCAACACCTTGTATTGATTATACCAATGATGTCGCAGCTGTTATGTCGTTTAACTTGTTAATATCTGTCTCCTTTGCTACCAAAATGTCTCAGTTTTCTGTAGCATTTACTTATGTGCAATTTCATTCTTTAGGTTGGTTTTTAATCATTTAAAAGACCCATTGTTTGAATTTTCAAGACTGAAGTGTTGGTGTTAATATTAAGTAATATTGTAGACAATCATTATTACAGTTATGTTTAGTGACATTTTACACATTTGGAGTCATCAGTTATGCCATTCAATTGAAACAATGGCCCACACAATATGGTTTTAGTAGATTCTGTCAAGTTAAAGTCTGTAAATATGAGCTTTTTAATTTCTGGCAGCTGCATTGCCCAGAAATATGAGACTCTTTTAGATAGAATACTCTTTTATAGTGTTGTATAAAGCAATAACAGCTTCTTTTATCACCTATTTAACTGGTCTCTTTCTGACACCTTTTAAATGCATGATGCCATATATGGAGTCATTTAATATTCAACAAACCAAGCTATAGCTGTAGGATGCTAAGTCTGTATAAACAGACCTATTTCACTTTGTAAAGTTTCATAAGAACAGAACAGAATGAAACATAAGGACAATGGGATTGAATCAAACTGCCTTTGTTGTTCTGCTGTTGTGTCAAGATCGCTTAAACTGTTCTTCAAGTACTCATCAGATTTACTTCAACTTTATAGTCCTACAGCATCATCAGATTTACTTCAATTTTATAGTCCTTCAGCATCATCAGATTTACTTCAATTTTATAGTCCTTCAGCTTCATCAGATTTACTTCAATTTTATGGTCCTTCAGCATCATCAGATTTACTTCAATTTTATAGTCCTTCAGCTTCATCAGATTTACTTCAATTTTATGGTCCTTCAGCTTCATCAGATTTACTTCAATTTTATAGTCCTTCAGCTTCATCAGATTTACTTCAATTTTATAATCCTTCAGCATCATCAGATTTACTTCAATTTTATAGTCCTTCCGCTTCATCAGATTTACTTCAATTTTATAGTCCTTCCGCTTCATCAGATTTACTTCAATTTTATAGTCCTTCAGCATCATCAGATTTACTTCAATTTTATAGTCCTTCAGCATCATCAGATTTACTTCAATTTTATGGTCCTTCAGCATCATCAGATTTACTTCAATTTTATGGTCCTTCAGCTTCATCAGATTTACTTCAATTTTATAGTCCTTCAGCTTCATCAGATTTACTTCAATTTTATGGTCCTTCAGCTTCATCAGATTTACTTCAATTTTATGGTCCTTCAGCTTCATCAGATTTACTTCAATTTTATGGTCCTTCAGCTTCATCAGATTTACTTCAATTCTATGGTCCTTCAGCATCATCAGATTTACTTCAATTTTATGGTCCTTCAGCATCATCAGATTTACTTCAATTTTATGGTCCTTCAGCTTCATCAGATTTACTTCAATTTTATGGTCCTTCAGCATCATCCAGATTAACTTCAATTTTATGGTCCTTCAGCATCATCAGATTTACTTCAATTTTATGGTCCTTTAGCTTCATCAGATTTACTTCAATTTTATGGTCCTTCAGCATCATCAGATTTACTTCAATTTTATGGTCCTTCAGCATCATCAGATTTACTTCAATTTTATGGTCCTTCAGCATCATCAGATTTACTTCAATTTTATAGTCCTTCAGCATCATCAGATTTACTTCAATTTTATGCTCCTTCAGCATCATCAGATTTACTTCAATTTTATAGTCCTTCAGCATCATCAGATTTACTTCAATTTTATGGTCCTTCAGCATCATAAGTTACATTGTTTTTAAGCTTGTTTTTCTTTAGTGCTCTGGGCAAAAGATTGTTCGCGTAGGACAAGTGCGCTCTGGGCACATCTGTGCTGTCTGATCATGGTCTGCACTGTTCGCTTTATTTTGATTTTTTTCTATGAAGATGATGAATGGTCCAGATTGAAAAATGGACACAAAGTCTGTTGGTATGGGTAAATTACCATGGGCTCTTTCTAACCGTGCTGCCATTTATTTTTAACAAGCATCCCAGGTTCAATAGCCACCTTGTTCTTAGGTAATATTAATTCCAAATGGTATGATGAATTATATTTTGTTTGTTGTTATAAGGGTAGTTTGTCTGTGATTAAGTTGATCATAAACTAATATATACAGTTTGCACAGTTGAGTTATCTGTTTATTGTCTAGTGGCTTCACCATCCCAACTGACATTGGAATTTGTTCAACTTGACTTCTCTAAATTTGCAATTCAATCATTTGTAATCCAATAAGGAGGTCCCATGGCATTTCACTGTTACCATAATTGAACATGGAGCTGTCATAATGCAGAAAAATAGTAATTATGTTTACAGCGTTGTGGGGAGACTTTCAATAAAAAAATTGTGATTTAGCACTTCTGTAAATGATCGTTTCTTCATATTGATTTACTTATCTGAGTAGAAATAAGGCTGAGTTGTCTGAAACTCCAGCAATGGAATACTTTTTCAATGAATATTATAAAAGGTCATGTCCTGATTGATGAGTAAGCAGCTATTTTCCTTAACAAGTTAATGCCATGGAAAGTTTATCTTTGACACATGAGAATTAGTATAGTGTAATGAAATCACAGTTTTACTTTCTGTCAGGAATCCATGTCGTAAAACAGCTTTCATTTCCCAGGATTTTGACTTCTTTTTAATGTTAAAAAAGTTATAAAATAAAAAAAGTTTATGTTTGTGTTATATCAGTATAAAAGCAACATTTGATACTGAGTTCAAGGTTATTGACCTATTTACCTTTGCCACAGAAAAAACATAGACAATCATTTTGTTAGTAATATGACCTTCATTTATAAGAATATGTTTACTTACTAAAAAAAATACAATAAAATGTTTATTCACTTATTTGCTACAAAAGTATCTTGTATTTTCCAATGAAATATTATACCTGTCACTTAATTGCACTAAAATTGTTGTCACTGATTTTCATACTTTATATACTTATCTGTATTTTATGTTGAAAATAATATATTTTGTGACTTTAAACTCTCTCATCCATGCAGAAACACAGGATAGTTATATAGGGCATTTAACTTAAAAGTTTGTACTTTTAACATATTTTTGTGCTATCAACAGGGTTGTATTTAAACCATTGGAAGATGAATATGCAAAAAGAAAAACTATTTGCATCATCACTGGGTCAGTTTTTATGAAAAGAAATCTACAAGATTGATTTAACTTGGTCTTGTATTATTTGTTATGTGTCTGTTTATGACAAGAGGGACCCCACCACAGCCAACAGTTGTGTATTGTTTGTTATGTGTCTGTTTATTACAAGAGGGACCCCACCACAGCCAACAAGTGTGTATTGTTTGTTATGTGTCTGTTTATGACAAGAGGGACCCCACCACAGCCAACAAGTGTGTATTGTTTGTTTTGTGTCTGTTTATGACAAGAGGGACCCCACCACAGCCAACAAGTGTGTATTTTTTGTTTTGTGTCTGTTTATGACAAGAGGGACCCCACCACAGCCAACAAGTGTGTATTGTTTGCTTTGTCTCTGTTTATGACAAGAGGGACCCCACCACAGCCAACAGGTGTGTATTGTTTGTTTGTGTCTGTTTATGACAAGGGGGACCCACCACAGCCAACAAGTGTGTATTATTTGTTATGTGTCTGTTTATGACAAGAGGGACCCCACCACAGCCAACAAGTGTGTATTATTTGTTATGTGTCTGTTTATGACAAGAGGGACCCCACCACAGCCAACAAGTGTGTATTATTTGTTATGTGTCTGTTTATGACAAGAGGGACCCCACCACAGCCAACAAGTGTGTATTATTTGTTTTGTCTCTGTTTATGACAAGAGGGACCCTACGACAGCCAACAAGTGTGTATTGTTTGTTTTGTCTCTGTTTATGACAAGAGGGACCCCACCACAGCCAACAAGTGTGTATTATTTGTTTTGTCTCTGTTTATGACAAGAGGGACCCCACCACAGCCAACAAGTGTGTATTGTTTGTTTTGTGTCTGTTTATGACAAGGGGGACCCCACCACAGCCAACAAGTGTGTATTATTTGTTATGTGTCTGTTTATGACAAGAGGGACCCCACCACAGCCAACAAGTGTGTATTATTTGTTTTGTCTCTGTTTATGACAAGAGGGACCCCACAACAGCCAACAAGTGTGTATTGTTTGTTTTGTCTCTGTTTATGACAAGAGGGACCCCACCACAGCCAACAAGTGTGTATTGTTTTGTGTCTGTTTATGACAAGAGGGACCCCACCACAGCCAACAAGTGTGTATTGTTTTGTGTCTGTTTATGACAAGAGGGACCCACCACAGCCAACAAGTGTGTATTATTTGTTTTGTGTCTGTTTATGACAAGAGGGACCCTACGACAGCCAACAAGTGTGTATTGTTTGTTTTGTCTCTGTTTATGACAAGAGGGACCCAGGACAGCCAACAAGTGTGTATTGTTTGTTTTGTCTCTGTTTATGACAAGAGGGACCCCACCACAGCCAACAAGTGTGTATTGTTTGTTTTGTGTCTGTTTATGACAAGAGGGACCCTACGACAGCCAACAAGTGTGTATTGTTTGTTTTGTCTCTGTTTATGACAAGAGGGACCCCACCACAGCCAACAAGTTAAAAATTGCAGGTTTGGTTATGCTTAGTCTTCCCATGAAATATATTAGAAAGTGCAACATCTCTCATCCTGCTTGACACCATTTTGAATCCTCTGACTCCAAAAGCATTTAAATCAATGATCCTGAAGATATTGTGTGCTATTTAATTGGAGAGCTGTTCATGTTACCATTATCCTAAGCCCCAATTCCCTTTAATTGTTTATAAATCAGATTAACACTGATAGTCAATTACCTTTGGCCATGTCTGTATCATATTTGAATATAACTGGCATTAAGGTAAATCATTATATTCAGATACTCTATTCAATATGGTATCAAATTCACTTTTAAAATGATTGGCTACACAAATGTAATACTTTTGATTTATATCTTCATGTTAAACTATACATTAGAAATGCATCATTTATTGTTAAAAGGTAATCACATTCAAAGTCATGTTTATGTGAGAAGTAATAATTACTGTCAGAAAAACAGCAGTAACTTGTCATTTAACTGTTACAAATGTAAAATTTTTTATCGCTTAGTAAGTTTTATTAGATGATACAGTGAGCAGTAAACTTTTTCAATGTTTACTTAGGAAAAAACAGGCAATTGAGCCTGTAACTTTATGCTAGCTGCTTTAATATGTCAGTCCTTTAAATTTACGTGCAGAATATGGGGTAGTCAATTTTACGGAGCAAAGATTAAAAACTTGAGATTACATATCAGAAGATGATGGACTTAGTTTTAATATAGTTTTATATCTTTCTTTTTTCACATCTATGTTATAAGATTTAGAAACAAACTGTTTGGATTCAACGTGTTAAAGTTCAAAGGTCACACTCCTAACCTTTATGTTTATATTTTAGAGCATACCTTGACAACAAACCATTTTCACACCTTATGACTATTTGGAAAGAAGCCATTGTTTTGAGATTTGGAATGCTAGTTAAGATTTCCCTTTATCACCTAGGCAGCACAAAACTCCCAACTTCTCCAAGCTTCTGTGATATACATTGAGCAATAAATGTTCAACTTGATCAGTTCCTTACAGCTCCAAAGATGAGATGTGTTGATTGTTGTCTAATTGGTTCTCTTCCCTGATTAATTGCTATGGCATAGGGTACTAGATTCAAAGGTTAATCTGATTAATTAAAGTGACATAAAGGTGTTGCATTCAAAGGTGACTGACTGGAAGGTGACGAAATACATCATAATTAAGGAAAATGGTCTTTTATGAGGACATATTTTGAAGAAACAACAAAATAACTGCAAAACAATTACTGTTGATTCTAAGAAATGCTTATGCCTTCAGTCCTTGCTACATGAGCTGACATGTGATACTGTTTAAGGTAACACAAGTTTCTAGGATTTTTAACATCATTGACCTCCCAAAGTTCATTGTCAGCATTAAATTTGGCTGTCTATGGAAACAAAGATCTGTTGTTATTATTATACTCCTTTGTTTACTAGAATGAAGATAGATGTGCATGCATACATTTTTCAAGTGTCAATCAGTATTAATTTCTATTATGAATGCTTAAAAATTTTGGATTACCAATACTTTTCACTTGTTGATTTTGCAGAGTCTCTAGTGTATATTTGTCACTAAATAATTAATTATCTCCCTTGGTGATAAATTTGAACAATGTGGAGAAAAGCTGATAAAAAGCCTATAAATAAATTCAGCGATAAATTATGTGTTTTAATAGTGTAAAAAAGCATGTAAACAGTTGTGCATGCTCCATGATGATGCAGGTGTTATTACTTTCATTGACAAAGCTGCACAAGAAGTGTTTTTATGCTACTATTTTACATTAATTGCTTGTACATATGTCTAATAAATCTTAATTAAACTGTGCTTCATTAATTCCAGATGAATATTCTGAGATTGAAAATGATTTCCAGGTTTCGCCATTATTGCCGCCATTATTGCCGGAAATGATACAGGTTTTCATTTATGGATTTGCAAAAATGTTGATACCCACATCATTTGGCAATTTGATAATAGGATAGAAGTGCAAATGTTCTCAAAAAATAAGGTTATTACCCTTGTCTAATAGAATATTTGGTAGAATGGTTACCCTGATGTTTAGTATCTTTAACAGACATAGATAGTTATTTCTCACCTAAGAAAATGTAAACACGCTTGTGAACTCCTGACATTTTCATTTTGGCAGGATTGCCAAATTTTCTACTGTCTTATTGGAGAAAAATGAAGTGGCATTTTCCAACTTGCGTAAGAATAATAATTCATGGAATTTTGTGTAAAGGTGATGCAAGATGTATTATTTAGATGGAGAATTGGAGATGTCTAGGAATATACCAGCCATTTGTTATTGATTTACAAATTGCAGTAATTTGTCAGATTATGTAAGAAATGAAGAAGGAAGACAAATTGTTTACTTTTTTAGCTCGACTTTTCTATGAAAAGGGGAGCTATCCTACTCGCCCCGGCGTCGGCGTCGGCGTCGGGGTCGGCGTTGGCGTTGGCGTCACACCTTGGTTAAGTTTTTCGTACCACCCCACTTTATTTCAGAAGTATTACAAGTATGGCTTTGAAACTTACCATACTTGTTCACCATCATAACCTCCATCTACAGACAAGAGTACATAACTCTGTCAAGGTTTTTGACAGAATTATGGCCCTTTTTTGACTTAGAAAGTGTATTGAGCTTGGTTAAGTTTTTTGTACCACCTCACTTTATTTCAAAACCATTGGAGGTATTGCTTTTGAAACTGACCATACTTGTTTACCATCACGACCTTCATCAACAGACAAGAGGACATAACTCTGTCAAGGTTTTTGACAGAATTATGCCCTTTTTGACTTAGAAAATACATTGAATATGGGTAAAATCCACTTATTGCCTTAACCCTTTGAGATATTGCTTTGAAACTTTTAATGCTATTTCACATCATTACCCCATCTGTACGCAAGAGAAGGTAACTCTGTCAGGGATTGTTTTAAAATTAAGGCCTTTTATCGACTTAGAATCTTGGTTAAGTTTTTTGTACCAGTCAACTTTTTGACTGAACTGGTTGAGATATTAAATTGAAAGTTGGAATACTTGTTTACCATCATGGTCCCAAACATGGGCAGGAGAAGGTAATTCTGTTAAGGATTTTATTTGAATTATGGCCCTTTTTGACTTAGAAACTCAGTTAAAATTTTCATTCTTGTCCACTTGTTGACCTAACCATTTGAGATATTACTTTGGAAGTTGGAGTTCTTATGTGCCATCATGAGACCTATCTGTAAGCAAGAGAAGATAACTCTGTGAAAATGTTTCTTGATTTGTACTTAGAAATTCCTAGTTAAAGTCTTGTGTGCCCTTAACTGTCAAAGTTTTGTTTTATAGGCAAGCACTAAAAAAGTCGAGCGCGCTGTCCTTCTGACAGCTCTTGTCTTGTTTCTATTGTATTAAACTGTCTCCTGGTAACAACTGCCTACTTACAGTAATACATTATTATGAAGTCTGCTATAGAAAATGATAGTTTAGTGCATTTATAACCCTTATCATGCTAAGTTTGCAATGTGGACAAGTTTTCCTTTGAATTTATGATCATTCGTTGGTAGTATGAACCTTTTTGATAATATAAAATGCTTAATTTACAAGAAGCCTTACTTTATAGCACCTTGTCAGACTAAATTGATGTGCCAACTGGCCAAATAGTTATAATACTGATACCACAGAAAATCATTGATGCTAACATTCAAAGAGTTAGCGATCAGATTTTTAAAAGCGATACCATGAACTCTTAGAATAGATATTCTGCCAATTAGTTTAGAAATTCTCATAACTTAATAGTTTCATTACTTGATAATCTTTATTTCAGACCATTTCTCATATAGATTGTTCTCAGTTGTATAGTCTGTTTAAAGATATAGTACTTAAAAGATAAAAAATTTGTTAAAATTTTCCGTTCAACAAAAAATTTTCTGTTCAAGTAAGCAAAAAAAGAGGGAAATCTGTATTAATATTTGAATATCTGCAGTTTACAGTCAGTAAACTTGCCCTTACTTGCTTCACAATTATGTAATCAGTTGGACATGGTTTCTAAGGTAGTTGAAAGAAAACTTGAAAGCTGTCTATAGTTGTATTGATTATATTTCAAACCTTGTCAAATAAACCTTCTGCCCCTTTCCAGATGATATTATCCCAAGATATCTTTGCAATTGATTAATTGAATTTAATCGTATTTTTTTTAACCTTATCATTTTGAATTTGTGTAATGGATTTGCCCTGCTTTGAATTTGGAACAACCCATTCAAAATGTAAAGAATTTCTATATCAAAATATAGAAATATTAAGTTACCAACAAACAGTATAGTGTCTGCTCAGACAGCACAGATATGCAAACTGACCTTGCTCTGTACTGCATGGTTGGTTGCAAAGGCAAATCACTTGCACTTCCAATATGTTATAAATGTCTGCAGTTTTGTATTCTATGTTCTCTTGTTTTAATTACAGGAAATATAGACTACTCTTGTCCAGCCAATGGTGACTGTGAAATAACAAAGCGACGGAGGAAAGCATGTCAGGCTTGCCGCTTCCAAAAATGTCTTTTTGTCGGAATGCTCAGGGAAGGTAAGCAAGTCACATTGTATTTTTGTATGATGGCCCATTTTGTATATCAACAGTTTAGTAAATTCTTCAACTCCTTTCTTGCTTTTAGAAGTAAAATTTTTGCCTTGAAATTAAGTTTATTTTTTCCCCGTTTTAAGGCAGAAATGGTTAATGCATTAGTGTTTTATCTTTCCCTACTTCAATAATGTGTCATTAAATGCTGATTCAGGGGAAATGTTTGTTAACTTTCCTTTGAAATATTGTCTGTAATATAATTATCTATACATTGTCTGTCTGTGTATGGCAGCTCCATTAGCATTGCCATCAGAATGAAATCTGAGAACCATTTACATTGCCCTTTGGTCAGAAAAGACACCTTTTATGTTACAATGATGTCATTTACTACAGGAGAATTAAAAGGCTTTTAAAGCTGTTCTGCTCTCTCCCACTGTGTAAAAGCTGCTGTTCCGGTAAATGGATAACTAGATTAATTTTTTTCCGCAGATTTTTTCACTTTTACTTCAATATGTCCTTGAAAATGATGTAATTGTATCAAATCAATACAGGCATTAATACAATCTGCATACTTTTTATATGGGTATTTCTCATCACTGGTTTTTGTTACTCAGGTAGCAAGTTTATGTTAAAATAGATTAAATGCTTGAATGAAAATTTTATGACAGAATCTGCTTGAAAATATGATTGGTGGATAGTTGTTATTCATTTAATAATTATGAGGAAGTTTAAAAATTGTCTGAGTCATTGATGTGAACATGTATATACTATTATGAATACATCTCAATGTAGAAATTTAAATAATGGTCCAATATTTAAAAAAAAATTAAACAAACAAACCAGAATTATTGTCATTTACCCTTACCATAGTTTAAGATTGTTTTTTACTTGAATTCTAATGAAAGTTCATATATGGGCATGCCTTTTGGCATTCACTAATATCAGTTATCAAGATTATAAACTTTTTACACTGACTTTGTACTGATTGCAAAGAATGTTGTGAAAATTTTGAAGTGTTAAGTGCTCTTTAGGTGATTTCAAAATCAAAATACTAACATTAAGAAACTAACAGTAAATGGCCTTATTACAAGGATATGTAGTTGGATTTGTCTCGTATACGTTAAAAGACTTACATATTTTCTTACAATATTGTAGCTGCACGATCATATCAATTGCCAAAGCTTAATGGCAACTTTAACACCTTTTGGGATTCTGTAGTTTGTAAATTTGATTGAGGCCCATGCTATTCGCAGTCTTTAATTTGATTTACCAGTGATGACTGTAAAATGAGCATATTGTATTCTGATGATCTTTTAACAGGTCTTGATCAAATTAGTCGACTCGTCAAATCCAAGTTTAATAACAGTAAATTTATTGAAATTGTCACCTGCAACAAAAAGCCAATTTTCAGCATTTTCATAACTATTTAATAGGTGACATTTGCATATATCATTTATTAAGTAGATTTAATTCAGATTTTGAATGAATCATATGGTATTACCCTAGTGACCTAGCTAAAATATTCTAGCTAGCGTGAAGTCTTTATTTAAATTCTGCACGTTAAGCATTATTTTAAGTCAGTGATGCGGCAGTTGATACTTTTAACATTTGTAATGTTACATTTTGTATGAATGACATTTAAGCCGTTAGAATGATTGTTCTTTTTTTTTTCTTACCTGATTATAAAAATAGATATGAAAAGCCTTTAATGGATAACTACAATGGTAAATGATTTTAACGAGTTAAAGATACCGCTAGGTTTCTGATTACATTCACCGAAAGATTGCCGATACTAATCGGCAATACAGAAATTGATCCATGATTGAGATACTGTATATCTCTACACAGGTTTTCTGCTTTTATCGACCCATATGGTCACAAGGTCTGTAATTGTATCGGAGGAGGGGTTAATTGTAGGATTCGGTGTCCTATTATAATCTTATCATTGTTCATCAATAAACAAATTACGTTCCAAAAAAGGCGTAGATTGTTACAGTTACATTGCTCGTATTCACATTTTCGTACAATCATGATGAATATTCATGAACATTTTCACAAAATATATGTATTTGGTAATAAGTTTGTGAGTATGTAATGAATATTTTATGTTGCAATTAATATGAGTGTCACTGCTGTCACAGAGATAGATATCTTCATACGAAATAGTTATGATACATTCTACTTTATTAATATTTGAAGGACTGATTATGTTTGAAGGCAAGTCCATCTGCAATGCTGTATTCAGAAATCTGTATATTTAGTTTATTAGAGAAGTTGATGGTTATACTTGTGCAGTCTGTCCTTAAATTAAATTGTGTTAAGGACAATTAAAATCCTCAGTGCCTGTTGGAAATCAGCAAGAAAATATTTGTTCTTTAAAAGATTCAACAGGTTAAAAGTAATCAATATTTGAGAGTTACAATAAACTAGTTGGCTTAGAATCTATTATTATGTAGGAAATTTAACAGCAGGTCTAAATCATATTTATGTTGTTAAGACAATACATTACAGTCTGCATCTAATAAATTTGTTGTATTGCATATACCCCAGACTCTTAAATTCATATATTGGTTACAATAAACCTCAAGTGACTTGCAATTCAATTGATTCTTTAGACAATTAACCCACCTTTGCAGTCAGCTGAACGGTTTAATATTACAATAAAGCCCGGAAGTCACATTGCTGGCTTAATGTATTCAGTCCTGTAAAATTTCTGGTCTGGTTGGCTTCTTCAAAATATAAAAAACAGGTTGTTTCAGTTCATCCAGTGACTTACCCCAGCACCCAGTATCGTGGTTTGGCAAAATAGTAATTATGTTTTGGTTGTTTTGACAAATGTTCAAACAGTTTCAGATATTAAAAAAATAAGTCCATTATATAAATTTAGTTATGATAAGAAGTTAGCATTTGCATGTACTAAAAAGGCCTCATATATAACCAATAAAATATTATAAATGGTTAAAAATCTGCTTATATAACCAGTTCAAAAGTTAACTATCAGCTGTGTTTGTTCATATAATATGCAGAAACAAAATAGATTTAAATGTGTTACATCATCGTAACGACTTTTGGTATTTACTGTGGTGTAATTTTTGTAATGTTAAAACTGAGAGCTTTAATGGAATCATCATTTTATAAATGATATATATAGATTTGTGAAAAATGTCTTTTTCTGCACTTAAAGAGCAGAATACACACAATCTGGCTTATGTTTCATAATCGAAAGGCTAAGGTTCAAGAACATAGGAGTTTAATCAGAGAAATATTTGCTAAAGTGCCAGAAATTTAACATATATTGTATTGAAAAGATTGGGAGAACAGATTTTAGGGTATGCTTTTCAATCCAATCTCATGTCAAATAAAAGTTCTGCTAATCTTATAATCACAAATTGGAACGTTTGACATTTAAAAGCATAATTTATTTATGTAGCTGCACTTTTTGAGAAAATTACAGATGTTTGGCAGGCTTTGAAATTTTGGTTCACTTAAGATGTACTTGGCAGCAGCATATGAAAAGACTATCAGATGATATTTTACAGAATTTTACAGCATAAGTGGGAGTAAAAAAACACTAATTTGGCATTCACTGAGTTTGAAGAAAAATGTGCTAGAAATGCTAGGAGATCCAGCTGACTGTGATTTAAGTTTAGTAATTTGATGCAGTTCTATTTCATTATAAGATTATATATTATTCTAGGAAGATTTTATCTATCTATCAAAAATGATATTGTGCAGCAGCAAAAAAAAAAAAATATTATGAAGTGTATGATTTGCAGTAGACTCTAGGTTTAATTTTGGCATGGATAGCCCCTCAAACATTTAGAACAAAGGTTGCAAGTTGTTTATTTATAAGTACCTTACAATCTTACGTTACAAAACATTAACCAAGTAGAATTCTTCAACTTGATAAATGAAATGCATTTGGTTTAAAATCTAGTTTAGATCATTCATGAAGTAACTGACAGACACATGATAATTTGTTTTAAGGATTCCTATGAAATTAAATGGATTTGAATATAGTTTCACAATATTGCCTTGTTTGACCAGACATGCATTATTTAACAGCCTTGTTTGACGCAATGGTATGCAGTACGTTTGAAAGAAATAAACAATTTTACTTTATGAATTTGCATATTTTTGTGTGAACTACGTGATATTTTTCTAGCTGACTAAGTCTCATTAAAGTTTAAAGGGGCCTTTAGCTTTAATTTTCTGTTGAGAAAACAATTCAAATTAAGAATTTCAGAAATATAATCTTGGAAAAGTGCATCATATCACTGTTAAACCTTCTTCAAAACAATATCTGCCATTTATGACGCGTCTGTGACATTTGTGCTAAAAAAGACCAGGAAACGAATTGTCCGCAATAATAATTTAGATGTAGAGAGCGGACCAGTACTGGTTAGTGGAATCCAGCGGTTTCCTTATTGTTTATGTATATTGTATCGTCTCAATGGATATCATTTTCCATCTTAATTCATTTAATATGAAGATTATAATTATGAAACAATTTTATTTAAAAATAACATATTTAATGGTTAGAAAAGCTGAAGGCAGCTTTAATGTTTATAATTCAACTCTTAGTCCTGATGAATAAAGATTGGTTATATTCTAATTGGAAAGAATTGTATGCACCTTCACGTACATCAATCAGTCCAACTGGTGCATTTTACATCTTAAATGTGTTTAAACCATAAATAATTCATAAGGTGATAGCTTATAAAGTACTACATTATAATAATTATTTAAGGTAACCAGAACTTGCCTAATGTTTTTCCCCCCATATTATAATTTGCATGTATTCAGATTGACTTTTCTCAAGAAAAAATTCAGAAGGCTGTTTAAATGAAACTTAAGTGATTTGTTTCTGATTCATAGGCTTCACATATAAGTTTTTAGAAATGGTTGTACCATTTTAAGCATGATGTAGGAAGCTAAAGGCATGTTGAGCATTGCTGTGTACAGGTTTTGGTGGCATTTTTAGCTCGACTTTTCTATGAAAAGGG